CTCTTGCCACAACGCTCGGCCACATGGGCGATTCTAGAAGGCAGGGGGCGGCAGTGATTCGCCGTAGGCGTCTTCGATCCGCCGCCGCCTGTGGTCTTACCACAAGGGTGCCTGGCGTGCTAGATCCTACTGGTTTGGTTTGGTTCTTTTCCTAAACAACTCTCCACTGGAGCTCCGGCCCAGTGCGCAGGCCACGCGGAAAACACCCGAATGAGCGCAATGTCCACAAACAAATCTCCAAGTCGGCTCAAGACGGCTTCTATAATGACCACGTTGGCCCAAGATAGCAGGATGGCCCAAGTTGCCTCCAAGTCCGCCGAAGAAGCCACCAAGACAGCCCAAGATGGCTCCAAGGTGCTCCGAGTCCGCCCAAGAAGCCTCCAAGATGGCCCAAGACGGCCCAAGAGGCTTCCAGAAGGCCACGTCCTCCAGGAGAGCCCGAAGAGGCCGAAATCATTGGTTTTCCTTGGGTCTTTGAAATATGATGGCATTTGCTTCGGCAGCCCAAGACGGCCCAAGAGGCCCCCGAGATCGCCACAAGATGGCCCCAAAGGCCTCCAAGATGATCTCACGACGGCCCAAGAAGCCGCCGAGACGGCCCCAGGAGGCCTCCAAGTTCGCCCAAGATGATCCCAGATGGTCTCTAAGAAGGCCCGAGAGGGTCCAAGATGAAAGCCCCAAGAAACTGCAGAGAGGCCCCCAAGTGCCCTCCGACGGCGTGAGGCGGGCCAGAAACGCCCCAAGACGGCCAAAGTGGCCCTCCCGAAGCCCCCAAAGGCCCCCTAAGAGCCCCCAGGGGGGGCGCCAGAGATGATTCCAAAAGACCCCCAGGAAGCTCCCAAGACGCCCCAAGAATGACCCAAGAAGCTCCCCAAAGGTATATTCCTCCTCCTCCTCCTCTATTTCGCACCCTCCTCCTCCCCTTTCTTTTTCCTCCCCCTCCTCATCCTCCTCGTCCTCCTTCACGTGTTCCCCGAAGGCTTGCCAAACCGACTCGGGAAACACATTGTCCGATAGCTTGGCCAAACTTAGAGACCTCCTGGATGGGGTCTGAGTAGAGGGGGTCGGAGGATCGCGCCGCATCGCCAATACATCGGCGATGCATCGGCGATGTATAGGCGATGCACCGGCGATGCATCGTCGACGTCGGCGATGCATCGGCGTTGTCGACGTGAAGCAAATCGGGCTCCACATCAAGCCGCATCGGCAATGGATCGGCGATGTGGCACGATCCTCTGATCCCACCTACTCCGATCTCATTTAGGAGGCCTAGAAATTTCTAACCCTACTTTCGGCCACATAGGCGTTCCCAAAAAGACAAGGGGCGGCGGTGATTCGCCGTAGGCGCCTTCGATGTACATGCGCAACCACCGCTACTCAACGGACCTTTCCTGGGGTGCGGACCCCGAGGCGGATCCAGCCGTGGCAACGAGGGCACCTCCGCGAAGGCATCAAGGGCAAAATCGGCGGGAGAAGGGATCGGGATCGGCAGCGGGGAATGCAAGCCCGACAACTTTAAAGCGCCAGCAAAAAGTGGGGCGCACGCGAGTCATAGCAGGCACCAGAAGCTGCAAAACGCCGCAACTCCGTAGCCGCCACAGCCGCGCGGAAAGTCATAAATCTCTCGCCGCTGGGAGAGCTCCCCCCCCCGAAGAGAGGACGGGAGGGTTCTCCCTGTATTATTCTGGGGCTGACATCAAAATCTTTTTCTCCTCTGATCCTCTTCTCTTGCTAGCTGCAACGTCGAACCTGAATAGTCCATGTTGCTGCCCCAGCGATCCGATGCATCGTCTGTTCGCTCAGGGCCACGAGAAATCCCGACCCACTCGCTGGGGCCAACGGTTCGTCGTGATTTGTTTGACGGCCCCAGGGCCCAGAAAAGGCCGAGAGCTTCACAAACGTCCGTCTTGTCTCTTCAATCCGTTGGAAGCCTACCCGTCGGTCGAAAGAAGTGGGTAGAACCATTTCGTAGAAGGCGCTGGAAGTAGATTGGGCTTCCGCCCGCCCCCTTAAGATGAAAAAAAAGGGAAAAGCACTCGATCATTGAAGTAGGAAGACATTTGAAATAGACTAAGATCCTAAACTTCAAACATACTTACTTTCAACTGGCGTGTACCGGCAGACGTTGGGGGGCGGCTCGGGCACCCCCAGATCGCGTCCAGCAGGCGCAGCTGCCAGAGAACACCCAGAGGCGTATGTCGCAGAACTGGACCTAAACGCTGTTATTCGTTTTGTTTGTCGTTTTGCTCTACCCGTTTTCATGTACCCCCCTGCCAAAACGAAAAACAAAACACAGCCGAAGTCCAGCAAAACAGCGAACATGTCCAGCCCTGTTATGTTGCTCCAATCGTACTTCAGGGCCACAGCACAAACATAAGTCCGATCGCACAGCACAAATACCAAAACTGCGTCTGCCCGACACGCTGGCGAAATGTCGAACGATGATCGCCTCCCAGGGCCCGACACGTGAAAACACTGAAGTTTCGGTGCGTTCTCGGTACTCGAAACTCGCCCTGGAGATCCAGGCTGAAGTAAGTTGGAACATCATAGCCCCAGGCTGGGAATACCTCAACGGTCGGATATGGAGGCGTCCGAAAGCCCCAAGCGATGTTGGTCACTCTCGGAGTGCGTTAATCAGGCGCACGCTACAGTCAACCCGTATGAGAAGGACGCAAGAGAAGGATGCAAGGGCCTTGGGAAGGCTGTCGACACTTTGCGAACGGGGCGCGGCCAGCGGAAGCGGCCAATGATGGGCCGAAGGGGCAAAAATGCGAAGGTACCCTTGGAAAGTGCAATCCTTACTATGCGGATTGACTGTGCGCGGGCGCCAGATCCATGGGTAGGGGAAGGCACTCCAGAAACGTGGGGGCCAATGCCGCCTCGTTCGGCGACGGATCGCGCAGACTTCGCGGACCCGCCACTCATCCACGCGCCCTAAACGCACGTCGGGCATGCCCCCCCCTGCAGGTGGATTTTTGATGACAAATGAAAACTAACAAAACAATATTTTAAACATGCGCAGCAACAGTCAAAACATCGTTCCCATACTATGTTTAAGCTATTTTTGGGTATTCCTCCTGTATTAGGACACGCCCGACTGAACCCTAAACCCATGCCTGCAATCCCTCAAATTGATTGAGTGAGGGCCGCAGAGCCCACCCCCACTCCCAGCCAGGGACCCCCCACTGCCGACCTGGCCATCCAGGGGGCCCTGGCTGGGATGGGGGATGGATCTCTGGGGCTCTTGGGGGCCACACAAGACCACCCTCCACCCCCAGCCTTGGACCCCCTGCCAGGACCCCCACCCCCAGCCAGGACCCCCAGCCAGGACCCCCAGCCCAGCCAGGACACCCCGTGCCAGGACCCCGCCCCCCTCGGCCACGACACCCTGCATCACCAGGTCGGGAGCGGGGGGTCCCTGGCCATGAGGTGCGGGGGTGGGCGGCGCGGTCCTCCTCGAGGTTCTGGGCCCCCCTGCTCGTCCGCCCCCCCCCCCCTCGGCCCCGCGCCCGCGACGTCCTGCCGTCGTCCGCGCTCCTCTTCCCGACGATCTCGAGTGTCGCCCCGTCGCGGCAGCTGCCGTGGCGCGCCTCGGGGGTGCTCCTCCTCCTCCTCCTCCTCCTCCTCCTCCTCCTCCTCTCCTCCTCCGTCTCCTCTCCTCCTCCTCCTCCTCCTCCTCCTCCTCCTCATCCTTCCCTTCCCTCCTCTCCGTCTCCTCCTCCTCAACCTCCTCAACCTCTCCCTCCGTGTCCTCCTCCTCCTCCTCCTCCTCCCTCCTCCTCCTCCTCCTCTATTTCTTCTCGCCATCCCCCCCTCCTCCTCTTCAACGCCCCTTCTTCCTCCCCTTCCCCCCCATTCCTTCTTCTCTTCCCCGTCCCCCCTCCTTCTCCTCCTTTCCTTCCCCCCCACTCCTCCTCCTTCTCCTCCTTTCCCCCCCCTCCCCCCCTCCTCTCCAACTTCTCCTCCTCCTCCTCCCCTCCTCCTCCGCCTCCTCCTCCTCCTCCTCCTCCTCCTCCTCTCCTCCCTTCCCCCCCCCTCCTTCTCCTCCTTTTCCTCCCCCCTGCATCCCCCTCCTCATTTCCCGCTCTCCTCCTCCCCTCCTCCTCCTCCTCCTCCTCCTCCTCCCCTCCTCTCCTCCTCCTCCTCCCTCCTCCTCTCCTCCTCATTTCCTCTTCATGTCCTCCCCGCTCCCCCTCCTGCTGCCGCTGCTCCCCCTCCTCCTGCTGCCCATCCGTCCCCCCACTCTCCCTCACCCCCGAACCCACCCTGCCTTGCTCCCTCCCCACACCTGCCCCCATGCGCCCGGCCGCCGCACATGCCTTCGAAGGCTGCTCTTAGGTCGGGCGTGTCCAACTACAGGCGGATGTTGAACGAACATCACCAAACAATGCACCACAAATACGCAACAATTCGCCGGCCCAACGGGCCAGAGGCGTGCTAAGATCTCCGGTAACTTGTTAACAATATTTCTAGTTCGCGCGCGCGGAGCGGCCCCTGGGGGCCCCCCCAGACGAAAAGTACCCCGGCAAGGTCCCGAGAGAAGCCCGGGAGAAGCCACCAGACCACTCCAGGGGAGGGTATTTTTCGACACCCCTCACGAGGATCGTGGCCTCCGAGGGGGGAGCCGCAATCGACTACCCCCAAGAGCCCCCCAAGAGGCCCTGGGGGCCTCCAAAACGCCGCCAAGGAGCCCCAAGAGACTCCCAAGAGGTCCCCAAGAGGCCCCCAAGAGGCCCTAAAGAGGGCTCCAGGGCCGGCGGCATGAGCGAAGCGATTAAATAATCAACAAGTCGTCCCCAGACTACTTTTTGACTATTGTTGAATATTCCTCCTGAAGTCTACTCTTGAGTGAAGGACATGCCCGACTGAAGTCTACTCTTGAGGAGGGGCCTGCCTCAATCATTTCGTCTCGCCGGGTATGGGCAGAAGCTGCGCCGCCCGTCACATGGAGACATCGCTGAAGCACATGCGAAGATGCTTGGGCTCGCCAAGCCCTGGGATCACGATGGCGGGGTGCGAAAAAACACACCAGGGCAACTCGTGCCCGGTGCGAAACTGGGAGCTAGGGCGCAGCATGCCGGCGGGAATGTGGTCCAACGCCTGCACGCCGTCGCATCTGGCGCGCATGGTGCCGCATGGAGCTGAACTTCCCGAAAGGGGTTAGGAGGCAACTACTGGGAGGTTTTCGTCGGAAGAATTAATGAGGATTGAGCCCCATTTGGGAGCTATTACGCTGGAGTGGGCCTCGGATTAAGCGGAATTAAGCGGGATTAAGCGGGATTAAGCCGGATTAAGCCGGATAAAGCGGGATTAAGCCGGATTACGCTGGACTTCGGACCAGCGCAAAATCAGAATTTGACCTCCCAGGAGTTGCATCCCAAAAGGGGGTCCCGCTAAACACTTCGAGCGCCGCCTGAAGCGGAACGCAGCACAGGAGCGACACAAACACTGCAGGGGAGGGCGAGCTACCAGATGAGCTGCCTCACCCACAAGCGCAACAAGCGACTCCCGCGAGCCTCCCGCGCCTGATCGTGCGGTGGAACCCTGCCACCGAATCTTAAAACTCTCGTCTAGCATCTTGTAGCCGCTGCTCGAAACGCCGGCCATGCGACCAGAGGAAGAACGCACAGCATGAACCTACCCTTTCGGAACTCCGCGCGGATCCCTTGCACCTGCTGTGGACCCCCCCGTGACGCGCGGAGCACGCCAGGGGCGTCGCCAGAGGCGTCCCCAAGGGGGGCCCGTGCGCCGACCCAGGAAACCCGCGCGGAGCTCCGGAAGCTGGCGCTGATGCAGCTGTTCGGTTCCCCAAAGCATTCAAGGCATGGGGTTCTTGTGATTGCTGGGGCTCCTCCGACTCCTCACTCAGTCCCACCTCCACCTCACTCTCAGCGCACTCAGATCACTAATGCTCAGACTCACTCACACTCAAATCACACATATTCAGACTCACTCACTCTTGGACTCACTCAGGCTCAGACTGACTCGCACTCGGATCTCTCTCTCTCTCTCTCTCGCTCTTTCTCTGTCTTTGTCCATGTATGTTGTGCGTGTGTGTGTGGGTTTCTCTCTCTCTCTCTCTGTTGATTCTCTCTCTCTCTCTCTCTCTCTTTCTCATCACACTCATATCACTCATACGACGACAATTCGCTCAGACCCGGGTGCGCTCCCAATCAATATCAACATAGTCATGTCCCTCATACTCAGACTGGGTAACACTCGTATGCACTCGCGTTCAGACTCAGCCCGTGTTCATCGCGATGAAGCAGGCGCGGCATTTGAATACCCCAAAGTGTGGGGAAGTCTCCAGCGGTGTGCATGTTTGGTGGCTTGGACGTCGGCGTTTTCAGAACAGATTGTGAGGATGTCTCGAGCGAGGCGCTGGTTTGAGCACTCCGAGGAGGAACAGCAAGTCGAGGACTGCATGTGGTCATGTTATCTTAAAGCGTGCCTCCACCGCTGGCTCTCGTAGAGCCAGGCTCAATAGTTGAAACCTGATTCGCCTGGTACTGCGTGTATATCTTCAAATCATACTTGAAATAACGAATACCTGACATCACCTGTACGCATAACCCACGATCAATACTAATTGTGGTATGTTCTTCGGTTGTTATATCACGTGTGCCACCACACTATTGCATGCTATGCGCGGTACCCCTGTCCATACATCCACTAATCCAGCTTATGTGATCTAGCAATGTACATTATGTAGATGTTGCTTTGTAAATCCTGGTGCATCGGAATTTGAAGACGGGCCCAGCATCGTCGGTGAGCGTGACGTTGTTGCATGGACCACTCATTTCCAATCGATGCTTGAATTGTGCTGGGGCGAGCGGTCCAGCTTGGAGTTCGTGTAGTGTCACGGTAATCGGGTACCAGTCTTCTAAAGTGTGGGCTGCTGCTCGCGCCTCCGCTGAGTAACCAGAACACGCTTGTTGCGGATGGGACTTGCAGCGAGCGCCTGCCAAGTGCACGACAAACTGTCCACCTTGCGTGCGTCCACCCCTGAGGCGGTAAGCACCTCTGATGCCATGCCAATTCACCTCGTCGTCGGCGTCGCCGCTGAGGCGTCGGTAGCCGAATCGCCAGGCAGGTGCAATTCTACTGCTGGAGCCATGTCTCGGCAGATGAGGTTCTTCGGTGTTGCTTGCATTTTTTGCGCGGTAACACTGGGTCGTCGCGCCTGTGCGGTCAATTCCTGGACACGATGTAGGGAGACTACGTGCACCATCAACCATTCTTGGGCGATTACGGCACGTCCCGAAGCACCCTGAAGACTTATGAGTTCAGCTTCCGAACGTGTAACTTCTGGATGCTGCATGGGGCGACGCTGCCATATTCGCGCTTGGCATACCTCACGGCGCAATTTGTGCATGTGTGACTATGGAGTTCACGTGCACCGAACGTGTTCTCGACACAATTAACGCACTTGTCGTTCGTGTCCTCAATGTCGGTCATGTTTGTCATCGCCGCGCTTAGCCGTCAGATGCATCTGGCTGGTCTCGACCCCTTTCATCGCATGATGTGGCTCGTAGTCCGAATCCTCGAGTGGTCGCGCGGAGCTTTCGCGAGAACGCCCGCGGGGAGCCTTCGGCCCCAGCGCCTGGTTTAAGACGCTGCAAGCAGTACCACAATGACATCAAAGATCGTGACCTTGATGTCGCGCGTGGTGATATAGAGCTCATGGGTGTGATGGATTTGTTGCTCTGGGTCTGGCGTGGCCGTCGGCTTTCGGATCGGCGTCGACGCTTGTAGGGGCGGTGGCCTTGAATCACGTAAGTTGACATTGTAGTCGAGCGTTTCGCCAATTGACCTCTGGACGTGATTGGGAGTGTCGTGGCGTCTCGCCGTGGCGGGCACGTGGTGGTCGACGTAGCCGTCGACTGGTGTATCGTTACAAATAAGCGAGTGGCCTGGCTTCGTTCCGCGAGGGATCGCGGGCGCACTAACGACCACCATGATGATAATCCACCGAGCCGTGTCGTGGAAAGCCAGAATTGGAGTCGGAGCCAACCGCGCGGAAGTGATGCCAGCTCCACTACCAGCTCGACAACGATATGGTAAGCCGAATCATACGCTACGCCTTAAGCGCTCCCATGGCCCAACGATGCTGGAATATGAATGTGTGGCTGAGAGATGGGACACGGGACTGAATATGTAAGAGGGTGCAATCTAGAAGGAATAGTATCCCGCTTGTCTCAAACGAATCGTATGCGAAGAATCGTATAGCATATTGTGCTGCACGCCGTTGTGAACCACAACGGCGGCGGATGGCTCGCTTTGCTTGCCTTTGACCTCAGCTCAAAGTTACCGATGTGCTCGGGCGCACCTGGCACATTCTACGCGTGCCCCGAAAGTGGTGCACGTGAAGTGGCTGGAGCATGCGGCACACTTGGCGCACGTGACACATCTGACGCGCCAGGCATGCATGATATGTTTGGGCCCCAAGGGCGCCTGGCAAGCGTGTCGAACACGCCCCAAGGTGAGACACCCAAAGCGACTCCGAGGGGCACCTAAGAACCCTATGGCCGTATTGCTCGCCTTTCTCTTCCTCCTCCTCCTCGTCCTCGTCCTCGTCCTCCTATTCCTTATCTTTGCTCTCCACTTCTTCCTCCTCCTCCTTCTGCTCTTCCTCCTCCTCCCTCATCGGTCCTCGGTCCTCGGTGTCCTCGGTCCTCCCTCCTCCTCCTCCTCCTCCTCCTCCTCCTCCTCATCCTCCGCGTTCTCCTCCTCCCCCTCCTCCCTCCTCCCTTCTACTCCTCCTCCTCCTCCTCCTCCTCCTCCTAATCCTCTCCTCCTCCTACGTCTCCTCCTCCTACGCTCCTCCTCCTCCTCCTCCTCCTCCTCCTCCTCCTCTCCTCCTCCTCCTCCTCCCCGTCCTCCTCCTCGTCCTCCTCCTCGTCCTCGTCTCTTCCTCTTCCTCCTCTTCTCCTCCTCCTCTCATTCTCCTCCTCCTCCTCTCCCTCATCCGCCTGTTCCTCCTTCCTCCCTCGTACTGATTCTCCCTCCGCCTCCTCCTGCTCCTCAGATTCCTCATCCACTCTCCCCCTCTTGGGGAATGACGGATTGCCCAGCCATTGATTCCAGTGCAAGCTCCTCCACATCCCTGATCAGGACAACTCGCCTAAGCAATGTTTCTGGATGGGCTCTGGTGGGGTTACGCGAAACGTCCAGAACTTAGAACGCCGCGCCGGTCAAACTATGCTAGTCGGTCGACGATTTCGAAATGTGTGGTTTGCAAACGGTGCGGTTTGCAACCCGTACCCTGAAGGCAGGCGAGGACCTCGACATACTCTCCGTCACGCCCCGAGGAGGCCCGACGAGGACAACGTGGTCCCCCCAGCCCCAACGACGCAAAAATTGCAAGCCACATCGCTGCGTAACCACACCCTTTGTAGACGCCGGGACTGGCCCGGCCCCGCCCCGCCGCGGCGCTCGCCCACGGCGGCTGTCGTCAGGCCGGCGGCGGCACCTCCTCCGGGCTATCTGGCGCGGCCGCGGCGCCGTCGGCAGCCGCGCCGCCCGCCTGGGAGGAACCGCCCCCATGAAACCACGCCGGTGCCATCTGGCGCAGGAGGAGCCAGAGTACCGGGAGGCGAGGGAGGAGGAGGAGGAGGAGGAGGAGGAGGAGGAGGAGGAGGAATGGATGGGCAACCTCGCGCGGTGGCGTACGCTGGCCGCCGGAGCGTCACGCTGCATTGGAGCCGACGGCGCTGACGTGCGAGCCTGCGCGGGCAGCCTACGCGCCACGGTCGGTGAAGATGGCGTAAACTTTCGGAGGTCCGCGCGTCCGCGCTGATTTCTTGGATCGGCGCAATACCTCCTCCTCCTCCTGCTCCTCCTCCTGCTCCTCCTCCTCCTCCTCCGCCCGCGGCCAGACGGGGCACCTGCCTCCCCCCGGAGAGGCGGCGGCCCGCGGGCCCGGGGGGGCACGGCGACCGACGACAAGTATGACCGCTCCGCCAGTACGACAAGGCGCGCCAAGGTCGGCGCAGGAGACACGCCAACGGGGTTCCAGCGCCCGTCCGAGAAATCCGCGCGAACCTCCGCAGGTTAATGTTTGTGTCACTGATTCTTCCCCGATGCTAGCAGCACGCGTGATGAGGCGGATCGAAGAAGTAGCAGAAACGTCGCTAAAGAAATGCGCGAAAGAAAAATAAACTCAACCAAGGCAGGTGTGAGAACACGCGCCGTGTGCACCACGGTGTTTTTTCACCAATGTTCGTGGCTGCCAGGACCAAAGAAAATGTAGACGGCATTGTGGCGAGAGCACGATTCCTGAATCCGCCGACCCTCGTTTGCCCGGGGTTGAAGGGTTTGTAGGGCATTTGACTGTTCCCCTCTTCCGCGGGGTCCAACGTCGAGTTTGATGGGGGGGGGTCCGCATGTCGGACCAATCCCAATCGACTGGAAAGAATCCCAACCAATGAGGCCACTTCTGAACCGGACCAAAGAAACAACTGCTACCAACTACAACCAGCCGTCTTGAACCGTACAGTAGGACTCTAGTTGTGGAGCATATCATTTAGCAGTAATCCAGAGCACGTCGTGAGAATACACCCTCATTCTGGCACGCAACATGAGTGCCACGGTTGGAATTTGTACTTTCTGACGCATGAGAAATGCGTGTTTTGGAACTTGGAAGTGGTCACCAATATTACTGGAGTTTGACGGTTGGCGTATGGCGACCGGACATGTTTCGTGCTACTTGACTTTCATGTGCGAAGTGTGGAAACTTCTTCTGCGAACAATCACATACTCAAAAACGGAGTGTTGATATCCGTCGGAAATTCAAACAATTCCGAATGTGAAGTTCATAATGTGCATTTGAAAATGTCAACTACCAAGCGGAATCAGACAACAGGACTCATGTGCGCAATTTTCATAACCGAGCTTATACATGGCATAGTCTGGCACGTCGAGAATTTCGGAACATGGCGTGAACCGGTGTAAACATCCATGGTATTCCCACACTTCCTTGTTGCGGGAACTCGAATGTTTGTTTGTAGCACATTACTCGTATTCCGTCAGTGCTTATTGATTTGAAATAGTTTCTTTGTGTCGCGGATCTAACACATGTGTTCGTTTATTATGTACTGTTCTGTTATTCGTTGCATCAACCGTCAATGACCTTTGTCAACAAGTCATTCGATTTTCGGTACACCGGTCAAACAAAAAACCTTCGCTATTTGCTATGATTTGTGCCCGTCGAAATTCAATACGTCATGGGTCGGCCCCAGCCTTCCGCACACTTCTTCAAGGCATCTCTGGCGAATCCCAAAGGACCCCGCGAAATCTCGGCGGAATCTTTGAGGACCCCAGAGGACTCCAGTCGCAACGACTCTTGCGGAATCTCGGAGAAAAAGAAAGCCAGAGGAATCTCTACTGATTCTGTGGGGAACCCTGGTAAATCCGCCGATCCGGCGTGTGAGTTTCAAGGAGTCTCAACTACAGCCTCGAGGCTGAGCCTCAGCCTCTGGGGGGGTTGCCCGGGTGGCTCTGCCGGGGAAGGGGGGATTGGGGGGGGGGGGGGGGGGGGCGAGTTTCCGGCGGATGCGGGGCGCTGCTTTTACAGAAGGCTCTAATCTCGAGGATGCGCTGGAAGGGTGGCCGCGGCCGCAAAAGTCTCTGAGGACGGTCTACGAAAGTCCCGAGACCCTGAAGGATCGCCCGAACACGCCCAAGATGGCCCCAAGACGGCCCAAGAGCCTTCCACGACGTCTGAAGAGGCCTCCAAGAGGCCTCCCACGATGGCCCCCAGAGACACAAATCGTTGATTCCCACTGGTTTTTCAATGTTGTTGGGGTTGTCGCTTTTTTCTGCTTTCCGACGCTCCAAGACGGCCCAAGAGGCCCCCAAGACCGCTCGAAGACGGCCCAGGAGGCCCCCAGACAGTCCCAAGACGGCCCAAGAGGGCCTCAAGGCGGCCCAAGAGCCGCCCAAGACGGCCCAACGAGGACCCAAAAGAGGGACGAAAAGCGGAAAAAAATCTAGCCTTCCAGCCCACGAGGCCCCCAGGAGGCCCCCAGAGCCTCCAAGAGGGCCTCCGAAAGCCCCCAAGAAGCCCCCACGACGCCCTGACAGGCTCCTAAGATGGCTCAAAAAACGCCCCAAAAGGGCGTCCTTGCGCCGATAGGCTCGCCTCCACCGCTCGCACCACATCGTCCAGGCCACATGTTTCGTAACACGACTCCGTGCACGACGCATCGTGAGTTTCCAAAGTGATCGGCATCCTGTATGGAATTTTCATGTCATTATGATTCCCCGTCCCCACGGTCACTGCAAGCACCCCGCCGTTGATAGAACCACTGTTGCGAGATGGCTGTATTGACCCAGCTGCATTCCTACGCCCTTTCGAAGGTAACCCGAGAAATTTGTGCGTTTGAGTGTGCGCCCATAATGTCTGCGTCTGGAGAATAACACCGAACGACCCGGACCGGCGGCACTGGCCGAAGGCCACTACAGTAACGAAGGGATGCTGAGGAACCTTGGATACCAAACAACCGAGGAATCCATGACAAATCTCTAAGACATCTCGACGGAATTTCTGAAGAATCCCCAAGGCATCTCTTAAGCTGCAAGGAACCCCCAATGAATCGCCTCACAGACTCTCTAAGACATCTCGCAGGAATCTTTGAGGAATCGCCGAAGAATCTCTGAAGAATCTTTACGGCGCTTCTGAAGATCCCCCATCAATGTCGACGGAATCTCTGAGAAATCGCCCAAGAATATCTGAGGGGCTTGTAAAGCGCTTGGCACTGGCACCAATTTAATTGGAATTGGTGCCAAAACGGTTGGAAATCGTCCCAGCGTCTGACATCCGCTCCATTTTCGGATGAGCCCCTGGGCTCCCCGACATGCCCGTGGGGCTTCTGGTGCCTCCAAATCTGCGCCCCGCGCCTGTCAAGACAGCTAGGATGCCGCTCTAGTTGGCCTCCAATACGCTGAAGAGAAACCATAACTAACCAAGATGGGTTCCCGACCGCCCACGTGGCCTCAAAGAAGGCCCACGAGGACCTCTGCGAAGGCCAAGAGACAGACATCGTTTGAATTCCTTTGGGAAGCGTGCATGTCCCCAAGACTGCGGTGGTTTGTTCTCCAGGAAAAGGTTGCCCCCCAGAGAAAACGAACGATTCCCAAGGTGGACATTTGGATCCCTATGGGCTTCTGGGGATTTTGGGGGAAGGGTTGCTTCTCCAGGTGAGACCCCATCAGGCATCTTCTGACTTCGGCCGAACCTAATTTGCGCAAAACCGAAGTGCGCTCCCCTGAGAAGGCGCCGCAAAGGATTTCGCATCACTCTAGACTCGTTTGACCGGAGAACTAAGTCTTCGTGGAGAGAGTTTTTTGTGTGACGCACCAACAATAATAGTAATACTAGTCGAGACCGTGGCAAACAAAAAACGTAGTCGGAACAATGACTGTAAAGCTACATATGGAAGTGGCACTGGGAGTACTTAGCAGCAGCAGCAGCAGCAGTATGAGTAGCACTACTCGTAGTAGCCGTAGACGAAGTTATCAGATAAATGAAAGTAGTAGGCGTAATCGTAGTAGTAGTAGTCGTAGCAGAACTAACCGTCGCAAGTGTAGGGGTAGTAGTCGTAGTAGTAATAGTAGTACAGTTAATAATATTATTAGTCGTAGTCGTAGCAGTAGTAGTAGTAGTAGTAATAATAATAGTAGTAGTAGTAGTAAAAATGATAATTATAAAAACAGAATGACAAGAACTCCTAGTAGTAGCCGTAGCAGTAGCAGTCGCAGTTGTAGTAATACGAATAGCAGTATTAGTAGTAGTCGTAGTAATAGTGGTAGTAGTGAACGTAGTAGTAGTCCCAGTAGTGATAGGATTAATCGTAGGAGTAAGAGTAGTAGTCGTACGCGTAGACGTAAGAAATATTAGTAGTAGCGGTAGCCGTAGTAGTCGTAGTAGTAGTAGCGGTAATAAGAATAGCCCTCGTAGCCGTAGTCGTAGTAGCAGTGGTTAGTAATAGTAGCAGTAGTGGTAGTCTTAGTAGCAATATTCGTCGTGGTAGTAGTAATACTATTAGCCGTATGAACCGTGGCAGAAACCATCGTAGTATACAGTAGCCGTGGTATTCGTAATACGATTAGTCGTCGTAGTAGTAGTCGTAGTCGTAGTAGTAGTAGTAATAGTAGTAGTAGTAGTAGTAGTAGGAGTAGTAGTCGTAGTAGTCGTAGTAGTAGTAGTAGTAGTAGTAGTCGCACTCGTAGTAGACGTACTAGTACTAATCGTAGTCGGAGTAGCAGTAGTACTAGTAATCGTAGCAGTATTAGTAGAAGTAGTAGTAGTAGTAGGAGGAGCGGTAGCCATGAAAAGTAGTAGTAGTAGTCGTCGTCGTAGCAGTAGCGAGAATACTAATACCAGAAAGAATAAGAGTCGCAGACGTAGACGGAAAGAATACGGATAGTAGTGGTAGTCGTGTTCGTAGAAGTAGTGCTAGCAGGTAGTAACGATAGTCCCCGTAGTCGTCGTAGTCGTCGTAGTCGTAGTCGTAGTAGTAGTAG